GTGAGATGGTATCTCAATGTGGATTTGATTTGCATTTCTCTAATGACCAGTGATGATGAGCATTTTTTCATATGTTGCTGGCCTCATATATGTCTTCTTTTGAAAAGTGACTGTTCATATCCTTCACCGACTTTTGAATGGGTTTGTTTCTTTCTTGTAAATCTGTTTTAGTTCTTTGTAGATTCTGGAATTAGCGCTTTGTCAGAGGCGTCGATTGCAAAATTTTTTTCCCATTCTGTTGGTTGCCTGTTCACTCTAATGATTGTTTCTTTTGCTGTACAGAAGCTCTGGAGTTTAATTAGAACCCATTTGTCTATTTTGGCTTTTGCTGCTAATGTTTTTGGTGTTTTAGTCATGAAGTCCTTGCCTATGCCTATGTCCTGAGTGGTTTTGCCTAGGTTTACTTCCAGGGTTTTTATGGTGTTAGGTCTCATGTTTTATGGTGTTAGGTCTTATGTTTTATGGTGTTAGGTCTTATGCACACTTAAGTCTTTAATCCATCTGGAGTTAATTTTAGTGTAAGGTTTGAGGAGGGGTCTAGTTTCTGCTTTCTGCACATGCTTTCCCAACACCATTTATTAAACAGGGAAACCCTTCCCCATTGCTTGTTTTCGTCAGGTTTGTCAAAGATCAGATGGTTGTAGATGTGTGGCATTGCCTCTGAGTCCTCTCTTCTGTTCCATTGGTCTATATGTCTGTTTTGGTACCAGTACCATGCTGTTTTGATTAATGTAGCCTTGTAGTATAGTTTGGAGTCAGATAGTGTGATGACTCCAGCTTGGTTTTTTTGCTTAGGATTGTCTTGGCTATGCGGGCTCTCTTGTGATTCCATATGAAGGTTAAGGTGGTTTTTTCCAGTTCTGTGAAGAGGGTCGCCAGTAGCTTGATGGGGATAATGTTAAATCTATAACTTACTTTGGGCAGTATGGCCATTTTCATGATATTGATTCTTCTTAACCATGAACATGGAATGTTTTTCTATCTGTTTGTGTCCTCTCTTATTTTCTTGAGCAGTGGTTTGTAGTTCTCGTTGAAGAGGTCCTTTACATCCTTTGTTAGTTGTATTCCTAGATATTTTATTTTCTTTGTAGCAATTGTGAATGGGAGTTCGCTCTTGATTTGGCTTTCTGTTAATCTGTTCTTGGTATATAGGAATGCTTGTGATTTCTGCACATTGATTTTGTATCCTGAGACGTTGCTGAATTTGCTTATCAGTTTAAGGAGATTTTGGGCTGAGACAATATGGTCTTCTAAATATACAATTGTGTCATCTGCAAATAGAGACAATTTGGCTTCCTCTTTTCCTAACTGAATACCCTTTACTTCTTTTTCTTGCTTGATTGCTCTGGCTAGAACTTCCAACACTATACTGAATAGGAGTGATCAGAGAGGGCATCCTGTCTAGTGCCAGATTTCAGAGGGAAGGCTTCTAGTTGCCCATTCAGTATGATATTGGCTGTAAGTTTGTCATAAATAACTTTTATTATTTTGAGATATGTTCCATTGATACCTAGTTTATTGAGAGTTTTTAGCATAAAGGGCTGTTGAATTTTGTCAAAGGCCTTCTCCGCATCTATTAAGATAATCATGTGGTTTTTGTGTTTGGTTCTATTTATGTGGTGGATTACATTTATAGGCTTGCGTATGTTGAACCAGCCTTGTATCCCCAGGGTGAAGCCTATTTGATTGTGATGGATAAGCTTTTTGATGTCCTGTTGCAGTCAGTTTGCCAGTATTTTATTGAAGATTTTTGCATCTATGTTCATCATGAATATTGGCCTGAAGTTTTCTTTTTTTGTTGAGTCTCTGCAGGGTTTTGGTATCAGGATGACGTTGTCCTCATAAAATGATTTGAGAGGATTCCCTCTTTTTGTGTTGTTTGTAATAGTTTCAGAAGGAGTGGTACCAGCTCCTCTTTGTATGTCTGGTAGAATTCAGCTGTGAACCCATCTGGACCTGGACTTTTTTTGGTTTGTAGGCTATTAATTGCTGCCTCAACTTCAGCCCTTGTTATTGGTCTACTCAGGTTTCAACTTCTTCCTGATTTAGCCTTGATAGGGTGCAAGTGTCCAGGAATTTATCCATTTCTTCCAGGTTTACTGGTTTATGGGCATAGAGTTGTTTGTAGTAATCTCTGATGGTAGTTTGTATTTCTGTGGAATTGGTGGTGATATCCCTTTTATCATTTTTTATTGCATCTATTTGATTCTTCTCTCTTTTCTATTAATCTGGCTAGCAGTCTGTCTATTTTGTTGATCTTTTCATAAAACTAGCTCCTGGATTTATTGATTCTTTGAAGGTATTTTAATGCCTTTATCTCCTCCAGTTCGGCTCTCTTAGTTATTTCTTGTCTTCTGCTGGCTTTTTAGATTTTTGGTCTTGCTCCTCTAGCTCTTTCAATTTTGATGACAGAGTGTTGATTTTATATCTTTCCTCACTTCTCATGTGGGCATTTATTGCTAAAAATTTCTCTCTAGACACTGCTTTAAATGTGTCCCAGAGATTCTGGTACATTGTGTCTTCATTCTCGTTGGTTTTGAAGAATATCTTTATATCTGCCTTCATTTCATTGTTTATCCAGTTGACACTCAGGAGCCAGTTGTTCAGTTTCTATGAAGTTGTGTGGTTCTGGATTAGTTTCTTATTCCTTAGTTCTAATTTGATTGCACTGTGATCTGAGAGACTGTTTGTTATGATTTTTGTTCTTTTGCATTTGCTGAGAAGTGACTTACTTCCAATTATGTGGTCAGTTTTAGAGTAGGTGTGATGTGGTGCTGAGAAGAATGTATATTTTGTGCATTTGGGATGGAGAGTTCTGTAGATGTCTATTAGGTCCACTTGGTCCAGATCTGAGTTCAAGTCCTGGATATCCTTGTTAATTTTCTGTCTTGTTGATCTGTCTAATATTGACAGTGGAGTGCAAAGTTTCTTTGCATTAGGTTAGGACATGTTCTTTTAGCTCAGAGAAGTTTGTTATTCACCACCTTCTGAAGCCTGTTTCTGTCAATTCATCAGACTTATTCTCTATCCAGCTTTGTTCCCTTGCTGGTGAGCAGTTGTGTTCCCTGGGAGGAGGAAAGGCTTTCTGGTTTTTGATGTTTTCATCCTTTTTGTGCTGGTTTCTTCCCATCTTCATGGATTTATCTACCTGTGATCTTTGTAGTTGGTGACTTTCAGATGGGATCTCTGAATGGATGTCCTTTTTGTTGATGTTGAAGCTATTTATTTCTGTTTTTTAGTTTTCCTTCTAACAGTCAAGCCCCTCTGCTGCAGGACTGCTGGAGGTCCACTCCAGACCCTGCTTGCCTGGGAATCACCCGTGTGGGCTGCAGAACAGAAAGGGTTTCTGCCAGTTTCTTCTTCTGTTATCTTCATCCCAGAAGGGTACTTGCCAGACGTCAGCCTGATCTCTCCTTTACGAGGTGTCTCTTTGGCTATACAGGGATTGGGGAGCTGCTTAAGGAGATAGCCTGTCCCTTATGGGAGCTCAAGTACTGTGCTGGGAGCTCCATTGTTCCATTCAGAGCTGCTGGGCAGGTACGTTTAAGTCTGCTGCAGTGGAACTCATAACCACCTCTTTTCCCAGGTTCTCTGTCCTGGGATGGTGGAGCTTTATTTATAAGTTCCCGACATGCTCCTGCCTTTTTCAGAGATGCCCTGCCCAGCAAGGAGGTAGTCTAGTCACAGTCTGCCAGCAGAGGCATTGCTGAGCTGCCACGGGCTCTGCCCAACTGCTGTGTAAACTTCCTTGAGGTTTTGTTTACAGAGGTACAGTTAGAACTGCCTTGGTAATGGCAGTCTGCCTCAGTAATGGCAGATTACCTTGGTAATGGCAGACTGTCTTGGTAATGGCAGACTTCCTCAGTAATGGCAAACTGCCTTAGTAATGGCAGACTCCTTGGTAGTGGTGGACTGCTTCAGTAATGGCAGATGCCCTTTCCCCCACTGAGCTGAAACATCCAGGGTCCAGCTGTGCTTGTTGTGAAACTCTCAGTCCAGAGTGTTTCAGATTGCTGGTCTTTGTGGGGGTGGGACCCACGAAGCCAGATCACCTGGCTCCCTGTTTCAGCCCCCTCTTTTTCAGTTGAATGGGCAGCTGTGTCTCCCAGGCATTCCAGGCACCAGTTGAAATGGCCACCCAGATTTGTGTGAGTTTTTGTGTGGAAACCCACAGCACCAGCTGAAACAGCCATGCTGGAAACTCATGGCACTTTTTGGCCTGGGAATCTCCTAGTCTGTGGGCAGTAAAAACTCAATTGGAAATGCAGTGATCACCCACCCTCTGCATTGTTCTTGCTGGGAACTGCATTCCAGAGCTGCTCCTATTTGGCCATCTTGGATCCTCTCCCCAGTTTACTCTCCATTTTCATTTTTAACAAGTCCTCTAGTAATGCTAATACTCTGACATGGGAACCACACTTTGAAAACACTGTCCTAAGAAAAGAAAATCCCTTAGGAGAATCTCAGTGGACATAAGTGAAACCCACAAGTTTCAGCCACCGTTTTCCTCAAAGATACTCATCCTCCATTGCCAAACCTTAGAGTATTGGGATTTGTTTCCTCACAGTGGGATTCAAACCAAGCCCTAGAATTATCATTGGAATTTTTATGGCTAAAAAGAAAAAAATGAAAAGGGCATTCTGCAGCAAGTGGGAGAAGAAACCTTGGAATCTATATATCAGGTAAAACAGGATAAAAGGTGAAAGACAACTTTATATAGCCTTTGGAGAGGTCATTTTAAAGCAACCATAATACCTCATTTCTACATAGATTTTGACAGTTTTCAAAACACTTTGGACATCACTATTTTTCAAGTGTTTGTGGAGCCCAAGTTATTCATTCAGCAGCATGCTCAGAGTTTTAGGGAATAAAAAACAGAATGGCACTCATCATAAACTGCCTTAAATCAACTCAGGAGACAATGACTTATTTCCAGACCCTTCAGAAGTATTAAAGCCCTGACCAGAGGTTATACTTTTTTTTTTTACTGGATCAAAAACACACAAACAAAAAAAGAATGCGTAAATTTCCAAACTCAAGCTGAAAAAGCAGGAAACTCAAATCTCATTCTTGACCACGTCTATATTACTTTTGTATAATCCCTTCTCTTGTCCCTTTCTTTCTGTCCCCTTTTCAGAAATAATGTGTACTAGTATAGAGACATTTTCACTTGCACATGGAAAGAAAAAAGGTTAAGCATCTCTCAAAATGACAGGTTCAAGTCTATTAATCAACAAAGTAAAAATTAGCAAAATGAGAGTAAGAGGAACTCCTAGGCACCATTTAAAGAAAACTTCCACTTCTGCACCTGGATCACATGATTCCAAATATGACAACATATCTGAAAGGAGATGTTCTCATAATCCCTCACTCCAACCATTATACAGCAAGAAAGAAAAGTAAAGTTAACACAATGGGGAATAACATTCTTGATTTGGAGACAGTAGACCAGGAGGGGAGATTCTATTTGGATGATGGTCCCTTGTTAAAGATGGTGAATGGGCATTTGGAATTATCCAACAGAGCTAGTCCTACATAGAGAAAAAGAGGCTGGCCTTGTGAATCCCATGCCAGGATGTACAATTAAGTATAATTTCACTTAAAAGGAGGAAAGATAAACACAACCTTCTTAGCCAAGATAGTAAAGATTTCCAGAGTTTAAAGAAATGTATTTCTTAGCTAGGGTATATAAAACTTTTACTGTACTAATTATTACAATTTCTAATTGCTCTGTAATATTGTGGTGAATGTGGCTGGTGTTTTCCCACACTCCCTCTTCAGTTGTATCATCTCCCATTTGCTGTGAGTTTTGGAGATAACAATAAACAGCTCACCCCTATTCCAGAGAATCACCCTGACCCAGATGGAAGCCACCTTGCCTGGGTGGATACACCTCTTCCCCTTCCTCCTCTAGGGCTGACTCAAGTCAGTGACCTCCTGAAGGGATACACAAGGCCAGTCTCTTTTTCTCTATGTAGGACTAGCTCTGTTGTGTAATTTGTGCTCTAGAGTGTCCTGCAGGATCAGACTGAAGCTAGTCCCTCCTGAGAACACATTCTTGCTTGGTGTTTTCCCCATCCTGTTCTGGTTCCCTCACTCCCCTACTGAGCACACCCCCAGTAAATCACTTAAACAAGGATCCCTAGCTCAGATTTTGCTCTGCAGAATCCAATCTATGGCCACCGATACAATAAGCACTCCTAGGAGACAGACTGTAAAGATGAGGATCCTGGTGTTGGATCATTTTCCAGCGGGGCAATGAGAACCCTATTGCTGGTGATAAGTGGAGTGCTGATAGTCTTGGAATGCTGGTGCATTTTACTGGCTCTCATCTATGGTGACCTGTGATGGGATACAGGTGGAAGCGGTGCAATTGCTGGGACAATGCTCTGGGTATTTTAGAGATATCAGGAAATAACAGCTATACAACTGTGGAATTGGTTGGCCATTGCTTAGCACCAGTAATTGAAGAGAAAAAATGACAGGTTCAATTCTATTAATCAACAAAATAAATTGGCAAAGTGAGAGTAAGAGGAACTCCTAGGCACCATTTAAAGAAAACTTCCACTTCTGCACCTGGATGGCAGCCACAGTTGAAGAACAGGGTGGAAAATCTTAATTGTTAGCAGTGCATCAGAGAAAGCTGGATCTCAGCTTAGGCAGGTCTCACACAAACTCCGGGCCCTGAAAGGGGTGGGACCCTGATGCTTGGATGGGGACATCTGTACAGACATGGTTAAGAACCTTGAATTTTGGGTTACCCTGAATCCTATGCACCTGAAAATGTGACCAATTTTCTCTTATTGGAAGATAAAGCTACACACACACACACACACACTTGAAGTTATACAAAGATACCAAGTGAGGCAGGTATCTTAGACATTTCTTGACCTTCTCAGGACTTGCTCTACTTCCTTTCTTGGTTCATAATTAGAGTAAAATCTCAGCACAACCTGATCAAAGAGTGTTGAGCCAGGTAAAGCAGAAAAGAAATTACATGCCCAAAAACATCGAGACCTGGATGACACGTTACCATCAAGAACTGGCAGTGGTTCTGCAGGGGGTGAGATCAAGAGAAGATAGGCTATCAAGCTGTGTTAGGGAGAGTTTTGCAATATGGTGGCACTTTCCAGTGGCACAGGATTTAATGCCCTAGCAAGAGCCCAAGTGATTGCTGTAATCGGCTGATATAACTAACTTTGAAAGCTTGAAAAAAGGAAAGGCCTATAGTAAGCAATATAGAGATGCCAAATTGCTGTAGCAAATGATAGAGGGAGAGCTTAAAAGGCTCACAGAAGCAACATGCAAGGAATGGGTCCATTCCATGAGACAGAGAACCCTGTACTGACCATATTTCTTAGGGCGGCCCACAAGACATGTCCTTTTCCAAGGCAATGAGGTCAGAAGGACCCCTGGGAATAATGATGCGAGATATTGTTAGAGCACTGGGTTCCCTAATGGCAATGCAGATGATAGGATCTGAGAACAGCAGAGGCCAGGTGGCAGCATGTACCCAATAGAAGAGCGGTGGACAGAATAACTATAATCCATAGTAAGTTCAGAATGGGTCAGCAAGGCATGACCCACAGAATTTATGGAAAGGGCTCATAAAACATTTTGTTCCTAGCGGTAAGATAGATAAGCAGCCAATAAGGGTATTTGAATATGAATATTCAAAAGAGATAGGTGACTGAGGAGTAGAAGTTTGAGGTCAGCTATGCTCAGCGAAAAGCCATATTTCCACGCTCAGCTTTTAGGCCTGAGCCAGTTCTGTGACCCAGAACACATCAACTGAAAAAAAAGAAAGATGTTACAATACCATAGATCAATCCATAAATTACTCAGATAGTTCCAAACAATTGAATACAGATTGATGCTGATAGTCAAAGATCCCAACCACCACCATGGCCTGTAATGGTTAATACTGAATGTCAACTTGATTGGATTGAAGGATAAAGTATTGACGCTGGGTGTGTCTGTGAGGGTGTTGCCAAAGGAACTTAACATTTGAGTCAGCAGGCTGGGAAAGGCAGGCCCACCCTTAACTGAGGAGCACCATCTAATCAGCTGCCAGTGAATATAAAGCAGGTAGAAAAAACATGAAAAGGTGAGACTGGCCTAGCTTCCCATCCTACATCTTTCTCCCATACTGGATGCTTCCTGCCCTCGAACATCAGACTCCAAGTTCTTCAGTTTTGAGACTCGGACTGGCTCTCCTTGCTCCTCAAGCATGCAAACAGCTTATTCAGGAAACTTGTGATCATGTAAGTTAATACTTAATAAACTCCTCTTTATATGTATGTGTGTGTGTGTGTGTATATATATATATATATATATATACACACACACACATACATACACACATACATAAGATATATATACATATATATATATGCTATTAGTTCTGTCCCTCTAGAGAACTAATACATTACCCTCCTGCTAACAGTAGAGGTATATGGAAGTCAGCTAGTAAACAGAGTCCAAACAATGTCTGTCTCACAATGGGTACAGGTGGGCCTTTGCCCAATTTCCAAATGTACAATCGGGATGGTCATACTTAGCAGTTGGCAGAACACTTTGTTCCTTGAATAGTAAAGTTAGAGCTGTTGTTATAGCAAAGGCCAAGAGAATGATCCTGGGTATGTCAGTAAGACATGTCCATGAGGATAATGAATTTATAAATATATATGATTATATATATTTATGTGTATGTAAACATATATATAGTATATATATTTATGTATATGTAGTCATATATAACATATAGTATATATATTACATCTGTATGAGTTTCCTATGACTGCTATAACAAAGTACACCAACTAAGTGGCTTTAAACAACAGAAGTCTTTTTTACAGCTCTGGAGGCTAGAAATCTAAAAACAAAGTATCAGCAGGGTTACGCTTTCTCCAAAGCCTTAAAAGGAGGATTCTTCCTCATCTTTTCCATCTTCTAGTAGCTCTCAGGCAATTCATCACTTGTGGTAGCATAACTCCAATCTCTGGCTCCACATTTACATAACTGTCTGTCTTCCCTCTGTGTCTGTATCTATGTCTAAATTTCCCTCTTCTAATAAAGATACCAGTCATATCAGAGAAAGGGTCCACCCTATTCCAGTATGACTCACTCATCTTAGCTAATAACATCTGCATTGACCTTATTTCTGAACAAGGTCACATTCATAGATACTATGGGATAGCACTTCAATATATCTCTTGGGGACATAATTCAATTCATAACAGCATCTCAAGGAAATGTCAAAAATTAGTGCCACCCTCCAAGCCTTAAAGCATACATGAATGGTGGTCTCTAATGGGGCCCTATTTAATACACTAGCCTGACCTTGCAAAAACTGTGTAGACCACCTGTTAGCCAAGAGTCACCAAGCACATCAAAAGTATGTCACCACTGAACTGGTAAATGTTTCCTTTTTCATTCTTATCAGAAAGAAGGATCGGAAGAAGTTCTCATTCACATAAACAGGTAATAGTGTATGTTCACAGTCTCACCCCAGGGCTGTGTTAATTCTCCTGCTCTTTGTCATATTATTGTCAGCACAGCCTTGCATCATCTGGACATTCTGCAGAACATCATACTGGTCCACTATATTGACTATGTCATTTAATCATACCTGATGTGCAAGAAGTAGCAAGTATTCTGGATACTTTGGAAAGAAATGTGTGCTCTAGAGGAATATTCAAGAAGCTGCCACATAATTAAACATCTTAGGGTTCCAGTGATCTGAGTATCCTGGGATATAAAGTAAAGGGTAAATTACTATCTTGTCTCCTAGCATTGAAAGAGATCCACAATATTCAGTAGACCTCTTTGACATTGAAGTGCAACATATAACACATTTGAGACTACTGTTATGATCCATTTGCCAGACAAGGCAAAGAGATGTTACTTTTGAGAGGAGCCCCAGACAACAAATGGATCTGCATAAGGTCCAGGACTGTTGCTTGTACCACATCACCCATAGTACTGGAATTATCTGTAGTACCAAAATGTGTTTTATACAGTTCACACTTCTAGGGTTCCAGAGCAAGGCTATGACATCTGCAGTACAGAACTATAAACTATTGATAAACAACTCCTGGCATACCATTGGGCCCCAGTAGAAAATGAGTATCAAACCATGGAACCTCAAGTGACATCAAGTGACCATGTGACCAGAAATGCCTATCACCAGCTGAAGACAGTGATGTGCTAGAGACAGTTCATACCAGCACATCTCTTCCCAACTCCACATTATGACATCACTTTGGCACTTGAAATCAGCCATAGTGGAAATATTTATGCCATAGAAGTCAGCAAATGCTACAAGCATTTTTCAGAAGTGATCATTAAACAATTACTAGCAATTACTAGCATACCACGGATACTGATAAATCCAACAAATCATAAAATCAGGTGACCCAGCAGCAATCTACCATAACACGGATAGGATATGCCCAGGTTCAAATGTGAGCAGGTGTAAGAGGATGTAAGAAAGATATACAAACATATGTCACAAACCCACATGCCATCTGTCACTGTTACAATGCTTCTCCTCCATTTCACACCTGTGAATTCATGAAGGGTTTCCTGTGACCTGTGATGAGGGAGAAAAATCCCAAGACTGGTACATGGATGGATCAACTTGGTATGTGGGTGTAAGCTGAAAATGAATTGCTGTTGTATTACAGAGTAGCACTGAAAAATCATAGTTAGGGAAATATGAGAAGTGGCCTGAAATTGGGATATATGGACTAATGAGTTACCCAGCTGACTGGTTGGGGCCTTGGTAAACAAGATTGGATGACCAGGCATGAAAAGGTCTGGGTAAGAGACATATGGATGAACCTATGACAGTGGGCACAAAGTGCAGGGATTGTTCTGTTGTGCATTTGTGCCTACCAGACAGAATCTACTGCAGAAGAATCCTATAGAATCGCAAAGATAACTGGGCCAGACATGTCAGCAATTCTCTGTACTTGGCCACCTTAATGCCTGGAAAATGGTCTAACATACAGTGTAGCCACAGTGATTGAGACAGAAGCTATGAATGGACCTAACAGCATAGGCTCCATCATTTCAAAGCCGATTTAGTAACTGCTGCTGCTGAATGTTGGACCTCCTTGCAACAGAAAGCAAAGCCGAGACAATCTCTCTAGGAGACCAACCTGCCATTTGGTGGCAAGTTGATTACATACGAACCTTTTCACCCAGGAAAAGGTTGTGTTTACCGTAGCCAGAATTAACATGTATTCTTGGTCTGGGTTTGCCTTTCCTGCCCACAGTGTCTCAGCCAGTTCACTATTCAAAGATTCAAAGTATATGATAACCCAACTGGAATGCCACAAGATATTTACTCAGGCCAAGGGATCACTTTACAGCAAAGGATGTGTAATGTAGAGGAAATAACCATGGAGTGCACTGGTCCTATGACCACCACACCATCCAGAAGCTGCCAGCAATAGAAAAATATGTAATGGGCTCAAATTTGCCACTGAGGGGCTGGCAGGAAGATGACACTCTATAGCATGGAACACTGTACTTTAGGATGAGGAATACACTTTAAACTAATAGCCATTATGTGGTTCTATAGCCCAAATAGGAGAACACATGGGCAGGGAACCAAGGCATAGAAGTAGAAGTGTCATTGCTCACCTTTACTGTCCTTGCAATAGCTGTTGCTGCCTATTTCCAGGATTTAGCAGCAGCATTATCTTTCCTTAATGATTAGGATACATTATCCCACTGAATATGTTAACATCTTTCTTTGCTTATTCATCTACTGGTATAAGGAGCCCAAAGCGATCAGGTAGCAGCTGTAACTTCAAGTTTAGTGGTACATTTATTGTGTTCCCTGGTAGGAATGCTCCCCATGTAAGACCACTAGATTCATAAAGCCTATGGGGAAATAGGAAGTCATAAATGCTCTCCAAATCTCCAGACTCAATCTACATTTCCTGCCTTTAT